TGTTTAAAAATCCTTTGTGTGAAATACCTAGACGTCATTTGAACCCACACTAACGTTAGCTCAACTGTGTGACACCTTGACTTTATTTGGTCACACATGAATCCCCTCAAACAACCTAAGTTCAACTGTGTGACACCTTGACTTCATTTGGTCAAACACAAAAGCCCTCAAACAACGTTACTCCAACTGTGAGACACCTAGTCTTCATTTGGTCACACATGAATCCCCTCAAACAGCCTAAGCTCAATTCTGAGACACCTTGATTTCATTTGGCCAAACGCAAATCCCCCCTTCAACAACGTCAGTTCAACTGTGAGACACCTTGACTTCATTTGGTCACACATGAATCCCCTCAAACAAGGTTAGTTCAACTGTGAGACATCTAGACTTTATTTAGTTACACATGATTCCGCTCACACGAAAGGAAGTTTAGCTTTGAAATGCTAAGGGATCATTATTCACACATGCATACCCACACATTAACGTTCATCTAAGTGTTAAATTTGTGCATATCCTGCTGTTAAAATGATCACAAACTATTGCTATCCCCAAAGATTCTGATAAATGTTCTGTAAATCGCATTGCTACACTGAGCGTCTCTCCAAGATATTACGGAGCTACTTATCCAGTCTATAATTCAGACATATCAATAAAACACACTGTGGTTACTATTCGTCTCATTAAAACCGTGCTGAGGGAGGAGCGTGGCTCAAATCCCTTGATGTAACATTGGCGCCAAGGAGATGGATTTCTCATATGCTCGATGCGAACAGTTAAAGACTTTTTCTAAAATCACAAATTAATTTTTCGATCCGTTGCATTACTCTGTTTTGTTAATTGAGTTTCGTAATACACACACAAGGCGTAACTTGATCAAGCTGACATTGATATGGTACCGATGGAGCATTGGTCCCACCAGGGTGGAATTACAAGTGAAGGGGTAGCCAGTGGTGACTAATAGCGTCTCTCCTGTATACTATTATCCTCATCTTCAGGCAGGCCAACCGTCGCCCACTCTCCATACACAAACCAGTATGTCTGATATCTGATTCTGTTCCTTAAACATGTGAAGCGACAATAACATTATCGTCCTCATCAAAAGGAAAAATCAACGTCTTCAAGACTAACTACTCATAAATATCAAAGTTATCAATAATAACACACTTTATTCCTAAAATTGATAATCAATTTTTAGGAATGTGAGGAGAAAGTTAATGATATTAAGGTTGGTGAAGTGTTGAAGATGAAGAGACTCCAGTTGGTGTAGTCACGTGTACATGTAAAGACGGGTAATACACGTTTCCTCTTTTCGGATAATACAAGATCATGGCCTCATTTCCACAGCAGCCAAGAACACTCACGCTCCTTTCATCAGCCCAAACATTCAGCACTACACATATACATAACCACTTAAAGTGTGAAGAAATTTTAACAGCTATGCGTCTTTTTTCTAAAAATGTTATTACCGTAAAAACACCGGCAGTAGTTCTTATGGCTTATGCTAACCATGCATCATACACAGATTTATTCATTGCGTTCATTTTGTATTTGCCTCTTTTTGCAAACACTTGGTGTCATTACGATTTGTTTTTGATCAAATCATATACACTTCACAGTTATTTTGCTGTACGCATAATCGAATGGGGCTTTTTTGCCGGTGATGGTTATTTGTTGATAAATGGGAACTACAAATTATATTTTAGTTACCCCAGCTACCATTATTGCCAGGGCTACCAAAGTTACCAGAGATACCATTATTGTCAGGGCTACCAAAGTTACCAGGGCTACCAGACTTACCATGCTAAAATAGGAGTGATAGATGATGTACAAGGCGTCTCAAAACCCGACATTCGTGAAACGTGATTTTGTGAATGATACAACAGTAATGTCAAACAGAACTCAAAACCGCGAAGTGAATTTGTATGCGTGATGTATTTTGAATTTTATTCGACATGAAAGTGAGGGTTGAAGAGGACGGACACATATGTCCTTGTGGCATCTGGGGAGTTAAGAAGTAGGCTGTGCAGAGAGATACAAGAATTTGTAAACTCTGATGATGCCATTATTTAATCAGTTGGCACCAGTGACGCCATATTGCAAGGGACAGAAGCCAAGGTGTGTTTGTTTTGGACATATGAAAAATATGGAACATTAGTGCAAATATTTCAACATAAAAATATTCAATATGAAAAAAGATAGATTAGGCTTTAAAACCTACTCCCTAAATACTTTAATAGAAATAATTGTATCTTCATGATTATGTTTCGTTGGTCTGACGTTTACTACCAACAGAATCTCTGCACAGCAGACGTAATTTTAACTTAGAATATAGCTATTAATGTCAACGAACATCACCACATGCGCTATCATGATTAGATTTCGTGTCCATTACTTGACTGTTTACCTGATGCATGTCATAATAGTTCAATCATTACTTTCCTTTACAATCAAGAGGATCTGTTTGGCCAGACGCTTTATATTTACCTGGACAAAACCAGCACACATGTTATCTGGAGTGTGTGTGTATGGGTATACAGTCATATTGTTATGAGGCAGTGTTATACAATGTACAGAATTGTCTAGCATGTTGTTCTTATATGCATAAGTGGAGTTAACGCTATACCTCTCATCTCACATGACATCTCAAGCTGGGAGACCAACGTTTTGTGTGATCACTCTATATCCCTGGATACTCTGCCAAAAACCTAATTACTATTGCTGAGGGGTAAATATTGCGAGCATCGACTTTACTGCTATAATCACTGCTCTTGTATATTGAATGTCGCCATTTTTACACACAAGTACATCTACCTTGTACTTGTGTACATGTGTAAACGTGGTCGCGTCGCTGTATGGCTGGAATGATACCGATATCAACTCACTCACTATTTCATATGGCTGTAGACCCGTGAAGGTTCGGGTTAAAATGAATCTTCAGTGACCAATGCTTGTCGTAAGAGGCGACTAACGGGATCGGGTGGTCAGGCTCGCTGACACATGTCATCGGTTCCCAATTGCGCAGATCGATGCTCATGCCGTTGATCACTGGATTGCGTGGTCCAGACTCGATTATTTACAGACCGCCGCCATATAGCTGGAATATTGCTGAGTGCGGCGTAAAACTAAACTCACTCACTTACTCATATTGCTGTATTGGTGCATCTGTCGTTTTGTGTATTGATGTGTGTATTGATTTGTGTATTGATTTGGTTGATGTAGAATACAATTGTTGGTAACATCACATTTCTTTGTTGTTTATTGGTTTCGCCCGGAGTTCTTTTGCGAACTGATTCCGGGTTAACATTTGAGTTCCATCTTGTAAATCTTCACAATAACTGTGATTCATATACACTTGGCAAACATTCCATAAAAGAACGCTTACTCTTAAAATCGTAACGCAGAACACATGCTATAGTTTACACACGCAGCACGCACCAGCGTCAGACACGTATGTGTTGTGTAGGCCATGGCTTTTGACACTTTTAAGAAAGGCCGATCAATCACTGAGGAACATTCTGTCTGTCAATCTTATTTGTTCAGGTTATCATGCTGTTATTTACTTGAATTCATTCATTGTTTGTGTATTAACTGGCGATACAGAGGGCTCCTGCAAGCGGGCTCCTGCGGGCTATTTGAACGCTGAAACGGACAAAAGTCAGCTTGCAGTGGTCTATACCTTCCATTTTTAAGTGTCAGTTAAGCCGACTGCGAAAGAGATAGCAACACACCTTAAATGTTGACGAAGGACACCGCTCGGGGCTTCCCAGACCAATGACAAGAGTGCATGGTCGATTGATCCGAAACCAGGATGCATGAAATCGAACGAGCATTGACAGAGAACAAGTTGCTTCAGACTTACATGAGGCTGTTAAAGTAAAGGTTACGGACCTGACAATCACAACTCGTTCTTATGTAGCTCTCCTCCTACCTCAACGACCAACTCTTACCAGGGGCGTAGCTACCATTATGAAAAAAGCCCAGGCTTACACATACTTGTTGTTAAAAAGGTTGGACAAGCCCTCAATACTACCTAAATATAAAGCTTTGCAACCTATCGGGCTTACACGAAAAAAATTGGCTTGCTACGCGCCTGAGAGTCATATTGCCAACAGACGCCATTGATGTTCACAACGAGGAAACTGGCGTCTTTTTATATCGCTGGACACGTGTAATGATTACAGATAAGCCCCGATTCACTTTGCACTTCCTTGACAGGCGGCGTCTGGTGACACGTGACGCCTTCAGCATCACCCAGACTGGCAGAAGGGCTGTGATCCGGACAGCTAACCCAGGTACTCTCTCTATGTCATTCAAGACATCGGTAGGTACCAAACCCCAGGCACCGAAAACAATCGCAAATTGGACAATTTCATCCTTCGGATGCAAAACTGACATTTGTAAGTTCCTCTTATTTGCAACTGTTTACCAGAATCTTGGTAATTACATGAACATCAATATTGACACTGAAAATATGCCCTGCATATGTAAAACCTTGATTTTATCATGAGGCACACTACATTCTGTCAGGAAGAACCATCACATTAATCAAACTCCATTCAGAAGAACCATCACATTAATCAAACCCCATTTCTGGTGTCCCCCGCCGTGGTATTGCTGGAATATTGCTGAACGGGGCGGAAAACCAAACTCACTCACTCATTAATCAAACCACGCCCTCTCCTTAAAAGAGCGACTGACTGAATATGGATTTACTCCGTTTTTAGCAACATTTAAGCAAAATCACGGTGGGGGACACCAGAAATGGGCTTCACAAATTTTACCCATGTGGGGAATGTAACCCGTGCCTACGGCGTGAGGAGCGAACGCTTTAACCACTAGGCTACCCCACCGCCTCTTAAAAGAGCGAATGAGATTGAGGAATGAGCGAGCGCGTTTGGTCAGATGACATACCCGTGGCCATCAGTACCAACATAGGGCATGGTGTGAAATACAGACACCAAATTTTATGGTGTTATCTGGACACAACTACAGATACGTTGTTCATTCAAAAAACTTTATTGGTAATCTCTTTGTGAGTGAAGAATGATTGAGGATATTTACAATGATCTGTAGAGATATGACAACATGATTGACAGACATGGACATGTCGTACATCTCACTACTAGGAATCAACACAAGATTGTCTGAACAAGAAAATGATCACATTCTACCAAGTCAGTGCGAATTAACGAAATGTACCGTGAACATAACGGATAGAGCTCCTCAAATGTGCAAACAATGCTAGTGTAATTGGACTACTTGGACAGCTTAACTACACAGTACTACTGGTGATCACCTATGTACAAGATTTTCCTACTTCAATCAGCTACGACTACGGAACGCCCATATTTAAATATTCTTTTTCATCTTTAAAACAAATGTGAAAATAAATATAAAACTATGTAAACATAACAATTAAGAAATAAAAAACATACAGATTTTGTATACACAATGATCGAAGCAATGAACAGGCCCGGGATACACATAGGGTTACTGCAAGTTGTGCTATGAGACGAGGATCAAGTGTTGGATGGCGCTTGTACGTTGATCATTCTAACGAACAGATGGATGTCGTATTAATCATATGTAGCGGCTAACGATATCATCTTGCACCGTTAGCAACGACCCCGTTCCACTGTAGGCCCCATGAAATACAATCTTTTGTTCTCATCACATATGAAAGCATTTGTTCTCATCACACGTCACAGCAATGCGAAATGTTTTGATCATTTCATTTGGAAAGCTGATCTTTATTCCATATCCAATGATGTTGCTATGTCTCGCATATGTATTGGACTGAAATATGAAAGTACAAAACATTTAGCTAATAAACATCTAAACAAACATTTGGAAGGTTGGTGGTGAGAACGTGGTACATCATGTGGCCTTACATTAACGGGATACTACATATATATATATATATATATTGGAACACCCGGTGTCTTGCCTCTTACATATTGAAACACCCTGTTGCTTGCCACATACACCATGTAACACAGCTGTATTAACAGACACAACTGTCGAAAAGATCTTCAAACATATATATAGATTACATTGTGTCACCCGTTCTCAGATATAAGGCTAGTTTATCATCACAGAATACATGGTAGGAAGAGATCAGAGAGGTTGATGCGGGAACTGACTAGATTATGGGCACGTATTGCCGGTTGTCTGTGCACATGTTGGTATAATACAGGATATCAGGAGTTTATTGCTTAAACAGAAAAAGTCACTTGAGAAACGTGTGGGTATATTTACGTCACAAGAATGACCTGACCTCCGGAATCTAACCGCTTAAGTTATGTCCAAATCTACACTGGCCGTCTCTAAGAGTTCATATCCCCGATCGCTCAGCACCTTTTACTCACGTTTCAGAGACAGGCCTCAGTAATAGATTCACCTCGTGGAAACGTATTTGCCTTAAGAGTATACTATTACTGGCCATGGGTACTTTAACGCCCAAACATCAAAAGAAAAATAGAAGGCTTAGGTTTTAACGACAGCAGACACCTCTAATCGCGGAAAGCAGTTCTGTTCTCTGTTAAAATATTCATCCCATACATCTTTGGTTTTTTGCCAGTGCAGAATGCAGCTAGGAATGTACTAAACCTAACCGAGGCGGCCGGCGTCTACTGATGTGGAAATAAGGTAATGACGTCACATGGCGCTCAGTTCGCCCACTACATTGAATGATCGACAGTGTATGAGATACACCAGACGCTCTCCAATAGTGCGAAAACTCAAGGGTAAACGACAAAAGTGATTTTGTCGAGTGTTTTACGGCTTATTATCCATTCCAATGCCCTCCCCACACAAACCGCGAGGTGAACAGACTCAAAGCATTTGCTTACAAATGTATACTTCCAAAGAATTTATAAGTTTCTGATTTATGACAGCTTCATTTGAGACACAACCGACGACCGGCTGTCTTCAGGAACAACGCCGGGAACGAGGCATAACGTATGGTTATAAAATGATAATATGTGCAAACGATCATCGACTATATATATAGATACATAAATAACATCCGAGGCATACACTTCAAAATGTATCGGTTGCTATGCCTACACGCATTACCACGAAGTAAAAAGATACACTTATGAGGTATGAAATATTTTCTTCTAACTGTTAAAACATAGCGGTACCAGATACTGCACATGTCGCCCCACTGTGCGGAAGCTTCCTAGCGGTACCAACATTCGGGGGATTGTTGTAGTGTAAACATGGGTATTTGAGAACTTCTGAATACTTTGACATTTTGTAATAAACTCTAAAAGGCCTTTTTTCATTAAGACGAAATAACTCACACAACTCCAAATACCTCCTAAATTATTAAAATGAGACGGTAGAACTCAGGATGTATTGTCCCGTTAGAGATATGCTCGGACCCCAGGGAAACCACGCCCTCCCCTGAAGCACCCTCCATGTTACAAGATTATTAACAAATATATAAATGTACATGTTACCCTCAACATTGGTTACCAGTTGCGTGTCAACTCGTTATTCAGTCATGCACATTTGAAAACATTCACAAAATTAACATCAGTAGGTCGATGGACAATCTGCAACCTAAAGAAATATGTCAACTTGTCAGGTTACTTGTTTCAAACAGGAAACTTTGAGAAACTTTCAATTGAACTGAAACATAAATTTATACACATGTGAGTTCCTTTCTTCTCATCCGCCTGGTTCCCCAACGGGAGAATGACGCCTGTCCAATAATAGAGACCGCTGGTCAGTAGACTCAAACACCGGACACTGGGCCGGTGGTGCTCCAATGCCCTATGTCCATTGTCGTACACCACCTTCAGATATGTGCCCTTGCATGTTGCGTTATTTCCGAAAGGGGAGAGGTTATGCGCCCTTCTGTATGTGATTACACTTGTCTAACACGGGTGTGACATAGTCACGAACAGCTCCTCTGACCAGACATAATGGACATATCATTACAGCTGTCTCACTCGGGTGATACATTGTCACCCTAGTTCTTCTTTTGAGAACAGTAGCAATCCGTACATCACAAGCATAGTCCTCACTGTGTAGAAATATAGAATTACAATCAACGATCAATCACTACATCTCACCCGCATATCACCTTCTTGTATTACAGGCAGATTCTCCACCTCGAGTAATACATTATGTACAAACATGTCTTTTGTTTTGAAACACGTCTTTTGTTACACAGTATCCATTGGATGTAAAGTTAGAAATACGACTGGACACAAACGACGCGTTGGTATCCCTGGGCGTCGTTTCACCGTTGTTGATGTCGTCCTGTACGGGATGTCCTCCCGCCGTGTCGTGTCAGTTTCACCATCATCCACAGCCCCCATCAGCACCACCATCACAACCACAATAGACGAACCTTGTCATAATTCCTCTTTGCCTATCGACAGAGTCCATTAATGTTGATTCTTGATACGATTTCGTAATTTTGGATCCATTCCTTTCCCGTTTGATGGGTTCTAATAGTCGAAATGCACTAACCTGTGTTTACCACCAAGAGAGAGGTATGCACCTTGCAAGGGTCGGAAACGAACGGAATGTACATGTGCTATGATGATAAATGTAGCAGTAACTCGGCTTACTTACAACACGGTACAAGTCTCCCAAATCATCTCAACACCATCACTTCAAGTCTGTATCTTATTGTCAATAATGATATTAATGTTAACACTAAGCTCGTAGAACAGCTGCCAAACAATGTCCTCCCCGAATTAGAATCTGAATGGTCTTTGGGAGTTCCTGGAACATAAGAACGGTTGCTAATTATATGCAAAGATATGACTATGACTCATGCATTCAGGAGACACATGCTGATGAGCTGAGCATTACGTCACAATAGTGTTTAAAAACTACAATTACAACTATTGTTTTACATTTTACATTACACAGATAACAATAAACATTATGTAAAAGTTATTCAAGTAGGTTCTGTGATCGGTACTTCACGTTAAGAATTTAAACATTTATTCTGTACCACAACAACACCTTAATGGACGAGACTTGCAAACTGGAAGCAAGGCAGAAGTGAAATCAGTAAAAAGTAAAGGTAATAACTCTAACCTCGTTTCACGTTGTCTTTATTAGCTGAAAGACAAAAGAACAGAACACTTAATGAAATCAATCAAGAAGTGCCGCTGGGCAATATCAGGAAGCCCCTCAGGGCTTGGCAGAGTCTACAGTTACATTCTACAGGAAGACACTCTATTCGCTCTAATGATATATGCAAAGTTCTTACTTTCAATCTTATAGGCAGCGCAGAGTAAACGCCTCAAAATATCATACTGTGTTGCATTTAGGAATATGAAATATGTTGGCAGCTGTGTATTTCTTTATAAGAAATGCCCACTATTGATGTATTCCCATATCTATTCGTGATGCTGATAACAGCCGTGCGTAGTGTTTCAATGTCTTCCGACAGCAGTGCATATGTCTTTTGTAGTGGTGTTTGCATACTTTGTAACTGTTACATACATTCAATCAATGGTCATCATTATGATGAATACATCTCAGACAGTGATTGAGAGAGACGGGGTTTGGGGAAGACAAGCTTGTGGATCCAAGTTGCTGGACCACAAACTGTCTTGTGACGGAGATCCGCCCGATTGCAGGAAGTGTGAAAGAAGAAGAGTGTGTAAGGATAGATGTAGAGATAGTTGTGTTATGAACAGTGAACGAGGAAACCTGCTTGGGGTTTTATTGTCTCTCGTGTAAGATTCGATGGTTTGGGTTTTTTTCAGGGAATTATTAAATAAACACTGCAGCAATCCAGATATCAAATATGCGCCAGTGTGTTCCCTCGGTGCTGGGACAGGTTGCAACACCAGGGTTCCTGTGGAGATTCATCATGGACTGATGTTGTTCTGAATGCAGTCAGTAGTAAGTATAGCCAAAGAAAGACCACTATTCGTAGATGTAGCATTTGATCATTTGACTAAAAGCAATTCGCAAACGCAAAGCGCACCCAACATGAAGATAGAGTAACATAAGGAACTTTCCTGAAGTGTACAGAACAGTCGCCGTGAGTTTCCACACATTGTAGAAATCTGCTACAGGTTCGCTGTCCTCTGTTAATCAACGCGTCTGGCATATAACAATTTCACAATTTAAGATATTATTCATTTCAAATTATGTTTGACGTTTCAAAAAGTGCAATTAGATTTATGAAATAGCAGATTCCAACGATTCAGAAGAGCCACCCAGGAAAGTGCCGTGAGTGAAGTGTCTGTGTACGTGACTGTGATTCTGAACACTGCAATAGAACGGCCCACACTTACTTTTCAATACGTTGATTCTTCTACTGGTGATCTGCAGGTCCGACGTCCGACACACATACATCCCAGCGTCACTCAGTTTAGCATTCTTTATTTCCAGGATGCTAACAATAGTTTTCGTTGTCAAAGAAACAAATTTCCGTATGTAGATCTTCCGGACAAATTCTGTGGTTAGCTTGTTTCCGTTCTTGAACCAGTCCAAGTCATCGGGTGAGTGTTCTTTCCCCGTGGCATTGCAGATGAGATAGATCTTTTTCCCTTGTTCCACAAACTCCTCGCCGGTTATCTGGATATCTGCAAATATACTTTCACATTTAAATACAAAACGAGAGACATCATTATTACAAAGAAACCATACATTTTCTTAAGTTTGACTCTCAACTACAAGGACGTTCACCTTTAACACCTTTCAGGAACCGTCAAGTAGAGCAAATTTACTATCACAACATTTGAAAATAGTGTTTATTATACATTCTTAAATTTTGTGTAACTAATGAGTTTGTTGATATTAAGATCACAGCTCACATATACACATCTCACAAAGTTGTTATAACACGGACCACATTGAAATGGTAAAGCTCCATGCAGTTAACACGTTGCTCTCATTCTCAACACTGTAAGCTGAAGCAGGCATGCAGTTAGTTGTTCAACAGACACACGTGGGGACGTACACTCCATGAAGTGGTCTCGTATGTCACTCGTCATAAGAGCTGATACAGCACTGCTATAGATGAACATGGCCGGGACAATGGCACGAACAGTCACGCGGTGAAAGGTAAAGGCTATCAGCAGGTGGCAAATGTAACAGTGGACTGACTTGAGGATACCCAAGGATATTAAAGATATAAAACAATTCTTTGCGAAGACGAAACCGCGTGTTGTGGCAAATCGACCAAGTCATGGGATTGAAACATGCAATAGAAATATATATTATATTATATACTATCGCATTGATGTTTATTCATGGCGGGGAAGATTGGTTTATATAAGGTTCGCTCAGATGTGGAATACTGTCTGTTACTACACAGACATAATCCTTCAAGATGGGAAACACTGTCGGGTAGGCTACTTCATAGATATACAGTAAAACCAGAAATTATTGAGAATTTAAGATTGTAATTTTTTAAATTTTTTTCACTCATTACTCACGTATTAAATGTGAATATTAGCAGAACACAACTCTAGATTCAAAGACAGGTGAACAGTTAGTATTTTGTCAAGTCACCATGGGCAGCAATGCAGGCTTCAATGCGGCGGGGCATACTACTGATCAAAGAAGTTAGAAAGTCGTGGTCCATGCTGTCCCAATATCGGACCACCTCTTCTTTCATTTCAGCAATATTTGTCAGATTTGTCTTATTGACATTTTCCTTCATAAGTCTCCAACCATTTTCTATTGGATTTAGGTCAGGGCTATAGCTTGGCCAATCTAATAATGTCATACTTGGGGTCCGAAACCAGGCCTGTGAATGCTTTGAACGATGTTTTGGGTCGTCCAAAACTTTCCATAGAACACGTGAGCTGATGGAAGTAAAGTCCCTTGAAAATATCTGTGTACCGCTCACTGTTCATATTCTCTTCAAATACACAAAGGGGCGTTGCCCCTAACACAGATATGCCACCCCACACGTTAAATTTCGGACTGTACTTTGGGCGCTGATACAAAGGTTTTTCAGTTTGTTTGGTCCAGAATTTCAGTGTATTAGGAAACAGCCACACAGAACTTTCATCTGACAAAATCACATTGTCCCTGTTAAAATGCTATAAGCACCAGTTCAACCTACGCTCCTTTTGTTCAGGTTTCATGTTCGGTGATGGAATTCCTCGACTTTTCTGCAAACCCATTGCATGCAGCTCAGTTCTAATTGTCTCCTTACAGACAGCCATAGTTCCTCTATCAATCATATCCAGCCTTAAGTTTTCTAAACTCCTTCGTTTGGTTTTAGAAACAAAAATACCAAGCCGCCTCCTGTCACCGACAGTCAATTTTCTGGGCCTACCTGCGCCTCCCTGGTGCTCAATGCTATATCCATTTACAATATGTTTCAAATCACGATAAACAGTGGACAAAGGGATGCCTGTTCTACTTGAAATCACTTTAGCTGATCTGATGTCCTTGCTATAATACTCTAAAATCAACTTCCTCTTCTCTAAATCATCCATACTGAGGATCACTGAAAATGTCGTCTGCTAGCAAGTAAACAAAGGGGAATAACTCTTCACAAACTAATGAAAAAGGATTAACGGAGTTGTCTCTCTTGAATGAAACCAAGCACTTGATAGCTGGTCAAGGTTGTTTATACTAGAAATCCAATTAAACATATTCCTAAAATTCTCAATAATTTCTGGTCATACTATACTTCTCCAAGTTGGGAAACACTGTCGGGTTCTTCATAGATATACTTCTCCAAGATGGGAAATAATGTCGGATACTACATAAATATATTTCTCCAAGACGGAAAATGCTGTCGGGTACCACATAGTTATACTTCTCCAAACGGAAAATACTGTCGGGTACTACATAGCTATACTTCTCCAAGACGGAAAATACTGTCGGCTACCACATAGTTATACTTCTCCAAGACGGAAAATACTGTCGGGTACCACATAGTTATACTTCTCCAACACGGAAAATATTGTCGGGTACCACATAGATATACTACTTCAAGATAAGACATAATGTCGGGTACCACACAGTTATACTACTTCAAGTCGGTAAATATTGTCGGGTACCACACACATAGTTATACAACTTCAAGACGGAAAATACTGTCGGCTACCACATAGTTATACTTCTCCAAGACGGAAAATACTGTCGGGTACCACATAGTTATACTACTTCAAGACGGAAAATACTGTCGGCTACCACATAGTTATACTTCTCCAAGACGGAAAATACTGTCGGGTACCACATAGTTATACTTCTCCAAGACGGAAAATACTGTCGGGTACCACATAGATATACTACTTCAAGATAAGACATAATGTCGGGTACCACACAGTTATACTACTTCAAGTCGGTAAATATTGTCGGGTACCACACACATAGTTATACTACTTCAAGACGGAAAATACTGTCGGGTACCACATAGTTATACTACTTCAAGACGGACAATACTGTCGGGTACTACATAGATATACTACTTCAAGACGGAAAATACTGTCGGGTACCACATAGTTATACTACTTCAAGACGGAAAATATTGTCGGGTACCACATAGCTATACTTCTCCAAGACGGAAAATACTGTCGGGTACTTCATAAATTTACTTCTCCAAGATGGGAAACACTGTCGGGTATTACATAGACGTTCTTCTCCAAGATGGGAATGATGTCGGGTACCACATAGATATACTACTTCAAGATAAAACATACTGTCGGGTACCACATAGATATACTACTTCAAGACGGAAAATACTGTCGGGTACTACATAGTTATACTACTTCAAGATAAAACATACTGTCGGGTACCACATAGTCATACTTCTCCAAGACGGAAAATACTGTCGGGTACTACATGGCTATACTTCTCCAAGACGGAAAATACTTTCGGGTACTACATAGCTATACTTCTTCAAGACGGAAAATACTGTCGGATACCACATAGTTATACTTCTCCAAGACAGAAAATACTGTCGGGTACCACATAGTTATACTACTTCAAGACGGAAAATAATGTCGGGTACCACATGGGTATACTACTTCAAGATAAGACATAATGTCGGGTACTACATAGTTATGCTACTTCAAGACGGAAAATAATGTCGGGTACCACATAGTTATACTTCTCCAAGACGGAAAATACTGTCGGGTACCACATAGTTATACTTCTCCAAGACGGAAAATACTGTCGGGTACTACATAGCTATACTTCTCCAAGACAGAAAATACTGTCTGGTACTACATAGTTATACTTCTCCAAGACGGAAAATAATGTCGGGTACTACATAGTTATACTTCTCCAAGACGGAAAATACTGCGGGTACTACATAGTTATGCTACTTCAAGACGGAAAATACTGTCGGGTACTACATGGCTATACTTCTCCAAGACGGAAAATACTGTCGGGTACTACATAGCTATACTTCTTCAAGACGGAAAATACTGTCTGGTACTACATAGTTATACTTCTCCAAGACGGAAAATACTGTCGGGTACTACATAGTCATACTTCTCCAAGACGGAAAATACTGTCGGGTACTACATGGCTATACTTCTCCAAGACGGAAAATACTGTCGGGTACTACATATACTTCTTCACATACTGTCGCGTATATAGTTCTCCAAGACGGAAAATACTGTCGGGTACCACATAGTTATACTTCTCCAAGACGGAAAATACTGCGGGTACTACATAGTTATACTACTTCAAGACGAAAATACTGTCGGGTACCACATAGTTATACTTCTCCAAGACGGAAAATACTGTCGGGTACCACATAGTTATACTACTTCAAGACGGAAAATAATGTCGGGTACTACATAGTTATACTTCTCTACTTCAAGATACTTCTCCAAAAATACTGTCGGGTACCACATAGTTATACTACTTCAAGACGGAAAATAATGTCGGGTACTACATAGTTATACTACTTCAAGACGGAAAATACTGTCGGGTACGGAAAATACATAGTTATACTACTGCGGGTACCACATAGTTATGCTCAAGACGGAAAATACTGTCGGGTACCACATAGGTATACTACTTCAAGATAAGACATAATGTCAATGTCGGGTACCACATAGTTATGCTACTTCAAGACGGAAAATACTGTCGGGCACCACATAGGTATATCTACTACCACATAGGTACTACTACTACTTCAAGATAAGACATAATGTCGGGTACTACATAGTTATACTTCTCCAAGACGGAAAATACTGTCGGGTACCACATAGCTATACTTCTCCAAGACGGAAAATACTGTCGGGTACTACATAGCTATACTTCTCCAAGACGGAAAATACTGTCGGGTACTACATAGCTATACTTCTCCAAGACGGAAAATACTGTCGGGTACTACATAGTTATACTTCTCCAAGACGGAAAATACTGTCGGGTACTACACATAGTTATACTTCTTCTCCAAGACGGAAAATACTGTCGGGTACCACATAGTTATACTACTAAGACGGAAAATAGTCGGGTACCACATAGATATACTACTTCAAGATATACGGGTACCACATAGTTATCTCCAAGACGGAAAATACTGTCGGGTACTACATAGTTATACTTCTCCAAGACGGAAAATACTGCGGGTACTACATAGTTATACTACTTCAAGACGGAAAATACTGTCGGGTACTACATAGATATATTTCTCCAAGACGGAAAATACTGTCGGGTATAAAGAGACATGGTTGTCAGAAAAGGGTTGTACGGTCGGGTATAAAGAGACATGGTTGTCAGAAAAGGGTTGTACTGTCGGGTATAAAGAGAGATGGTTGTCAGAAAAAGGGTTGTACTGTACGGTATAAAGAGTTGTGGTTGTCGCTAGTAGAGAATACTGTCGGTTACTACTTGCATGTGGTTCTCGCAGATGGGGAGTACTGTCGGTTAAAAGTAAGATACAATTATGTGTCTCTTATTTAGGTAATACAACTGACTCACAGACATATCCACATGTACATAATTTCACATGTATTTGTCGATTGACGCATGAGAACAAGATAACAAATTATTATTTTAGTTAAAGGTCATTTACATTTCAAGACAAATTTAAATAACACATTGCACATGAAAGAACTGGACTTAGTGAAATGAATTAAAAAGTAAAATTGACGCAGATCCGAACAGCCACGTGGACTCTATACTGTTGGATTGAGTCGCATTTGAATAAAAGCAGTGTGCTAATTGAGAAGAAACTGTGACCGTGATTGTGTTTACCGTCCAGTAACCTCAGCATCCTGTTGCAAGTGCACATGTGTCTTATGAATAGCATTCAACAAAAAAATTGCTAAACCTGAAAAAATGTGTAAATTATAACACCACCATGTGGACGACTCACACTTTCTAAAGGTGTACATCTCAGCTGACAAGCAAGGACTAACATGCAGTATGCCAAGGAATGTGGAAGTTTATCCTTAGATTTACAGCTGCAGCTTCAGGATGTGCAGGATAGACATGATGGAGAGGTACAGCTTAGAAGTTCGCACAACCAGGCATTATATTATTACATAGCTCAGTATCAGAGTGGACGGTCTGCGAAATTAACTACCCGATAGTGGCTCCTTCTCTAATAATAAACCAGCGTTAAATATCCTAACTAATGGTCGTGTCTGTTCCACAGGTAAATTAATTACGAGTAAGTGACTCGATTTGACGCAGGAAATAGCCTTCTAATAGTCTCCGACGGAGCTTAATCCCTTTGGTTGTCTTGGGTTTTTTTATTCAAAGAACAACTGAGAAGGTAGTGTGATAGATGGACTTCCGACCTAATTGTAGTACAAAGGATAACAGCTGATCAGCCTTAAGAACATCAAGACGTTTATCACAGGACAAGTTCCGGCAGACAGGGCCCACTTATCAAACATGAGGCGAGTATGTCCATAAAATGTATATGAGTCCACGCACCACCTGCGATTTGTGGCGTCTCCAGGTGATACACAAGGCATTGTGGCGTCTCCAGGTGATACACATGGCATGGTGGCGTCTTCAGGCGATACACATGGCATGGTGGCGTGTCCAGGTGATACACATGGCATGGTGACGTCTCCAGGTGATACACATTGCATTGGGGCGTCTTCAGGTCACACACATGGCATGGTGGCTTCTCCAGGTAATACACATGGCATGATGGCGTGTCCAGGTGATACACATGGCATGGTGGCGTCTTCAGGTGATACACATTACATGGTGGCGTCTTCAGGTGATACACTTTATGTTATGGCGTCTCTGAGTGATACAAAGCGTTATAGCATCTCCAAGTGATACACATGGCGTCACGGTGTCTCCAGGTGATACACATGGCGTCTCGAGGTGATACACATGGCGTCACGGCGTCTCGAGGTGATACACATGGCGTCACGGTGTCTCCAGGTGATACACATAGCGTCACGGTGTCTCCAGGTGATACACATGGCGCTACAGCGTCGTCTGGAATCACACATGACGCTAAAGCGTCTTCTGACGATACACATGACGTTACAGCATCGTCTGGAATCACAAATGCCGTTAAAGCGTCTTCTGACGATACACATGATGTTACAGCGTCTTCTGACATGAAGTCACAGCGTCTTCTTGCGATACATATGAAGTCACAGCGTCTTCTGGCGATACACATGAAATCACAGCGTCTTCTGGAATCACGCACGGCGCTACGGCATCTTCTACCGATACACATGGCGTTATAGTGTCTCCTAGTGATACACATGACGTCACAGCGTCTTCTGGAGGTACACATAGAGTCGCAACAATATGCGTGGCTGAAATCGTGCCACAGATATATATTTGCTACCATTAAATACGATGATGCAAGTACAAATTGGATAGTACGGACAGTAAAACTGTTGAGACTTCATGTATGCTTGACGAGACGGGTCATTAAAGTACAGGTCAGAGACTGTAAATCTGAAGTATAGAATACAGAGGGACATACAATGCGGGAACAACGCTAGCATGCCGGAGGTCATTACAACATTACAGATGGCTCCGCGTCCCTCCACACACACCTGTCAGATGCATGATCTAGCATATCCACGCATTACATATGAAGTTTGCAGTAATTTCTTCTTGTTCACTTCCAACAGGTCTAAACAATATACTTCTCCGGAGTTCCACAGGGAGAACACTGGGCCTTGATGCTTCCGGAGAAGTTGCCTGAAGGTTCATCACCAGCCCGGCCAGACAAAATACTTCATTAGCCAAGTTTCTACGTGCAACCTGTTCTTGTTCCTCATTCCCAAATCCATCAGAATGTCTTTCAGATCCTAATTGCCCGTTTGTATTCTAATTTGGATCCCCATCAGTTAACTTACCAACTAATTACATTTGTTTGGGAAAAACCCATATATTTTCTGGCAAGCACAAAGGTCCTAAGAATAGGGGAACGCTGAACACTGTGGCAGGTAAATGGTATTATTGATTAAAACCATGTTTCATGTGTCATTACACTCACAATAATTTGAATCTGGTTTCAATGCAGCGATAGAAAAGCATGCAAATGTCGAGGCTTCACGCCGTATGAAGAAACACTTAAAAAAATAAGCGAGATTCGATTCATATGCAATACAAGCTCAGTCAAAACCAAATAAACAATCTGTGAAATCTGTAATTACACAGGGAATTTCTTACTTCTTTTCTTGGCAGATATCATATGTGGAAATATAGCTGGCTGGATTTTTTTCATCTTTTTTTTCTCTTTGGGGGGAGGGGTGAGGGGTTTGAATCAAATAAAACATTGTTAATATATTCCGCAGTCACAGCCCTGGCCGAGGTGAGCCATTAAGGCGCCTGATGCTTCAACTCTACTTACTCTTATTTTCTATATATCGTGGCTTTTTTCGCTCTTATTGCGAGCATGCACGTTGTGGTATGCTAGTCGTGTAGCGAATTGTGAACAGCAGCCCAGAACGCAGGTCGCACACATACAAACAGAAAAGCCAAGTCAATATATTCATCATCAGCTCCAAATGTCGCTTGTGATGTTTTTTGCTATGTACAGAAACCCGTGAAGCAGTTTCTTTTAACAGAAATCTCTGAAGTAATTATCAGTTTTTTCCCCAGTGTCATGATGACGAGGGTGTTGTCACTAACTAGGCCACCGTCTGCCGTGCCTGATGTCGTGCCACAACGTATAACATAGGCAGCATTCCGACAAGGGTCTTGTAAGATTAGTATTACATAGGAGAGAAATGTTACTCCCGAAGTACAATTACAGCTCAAGTGCCGAGTGCAAAGTGCTGAGAGTGAGCAGTTGGCAAAACACATTTCGGTAGGAAGTCTTGCCACATAGTTAAGAATATTCACATCACAATGTCATACAGACAATCAAACCAGCGCATGCGCTCCAGCGTTTTCAAAGACCACGAAGCACAGACTGGACCAACATTGCACAGTCATACAGTTACAAAAGTGTACGTTACATAAAAAGCTAAAAGTATTAGTCATGTAGGGAATGCGGAGTGTATCACAGTCTGGCTTGTATCTGTCAACAGTAAAAACACAACACAATATGCTATGTGCGTGCAGCTATGTACTTAGTCTCCGTGGTGCCGAGGGTGGGTAAAAACAGTTGCAAGAGATATAAGACGAGTCGCTCACATATGTTTCAGTTTAATGGATCATCTGATAGCAGAGTATCGTGACCATCACATGGACATGATCGAACTGGTACCAACGCTGTTCTGTGGATGAACTGACCGCTCGATAACAGAGCTACATTACTTCGTAGCTGAACCTCATCGTGTTACTTTTCGACCGTTTTGAACAGCTCCTGACATTGCCGGAAATCCGGGGGAGCTACTGAAAGCATCCCTCACTCACAATGAACTAGAGTGGTCATTACTTTGCTTTACACGGATTCACGCCACGGGTTGTCAGGCATGTGTGAATAGATGCTCAAGTGGAACGTGTCACATTGCGTTATGTGAAGGTGACATGTGAAGCTGACTATGCGACTGGTTTCCCTTGGAAGGTGTCTTGTGGACACTGAAGTGGGTTGACGAAGAAGGCGAAATGTACAGAAATAAAATGAAAAGAGCAACTCGAGCTATTCACAAAACTATTCAAAATGCAGAACAAAATTGGTTTACCATAAAGATCATCTTTAATTCCAGTAGCCGAGACACGATGCACTGAAAAAACGTTAAGACCATGAGATATATGGTAATAACTATCTACAGACTAACTCCGGATAAACTAGGCGTCGTATCCCTCTAATTATCACCGCATTATTATACGTGTGGGCAGTGCATGTCGCTACCTAACCCTTACAACGCTACCTCCCCTCTCCCCTTCCCGACCCGTCTTTTGTACTACATTGTCTCTATAGTTGACGTGAAAACCCATTCTAACTTATCTTACCACGTTGGCTTTTAGCATATACAATCCACGAATGGAATCCGTAAAATCTTCCTCTGATGTGTCAGGACGTGGTAAAAGACACAATTCGGCAACAAGAAAACATCCTTTTCTTACCTATACAGCGTCTAATTCCCAGTTTCACTTATTCATCAAGTCATAGCACTTCATACTTCATGCAAATATGCCATTATGCCACCGAAAGTCTGCTCTTTGTTGAAAACAAGGCAATACATAAGTGTATCCGCATTCTACATAATGAATCTGTTTTATCGACCCCACACCATATTATCTGCCCGAATGAAATATATTAGAAGTAAACGTTTATTTGTACTAAGAAGAGGACGGTAGGTTGCCAGGCTTTCCGCGTAGAGTATTCAGGACCGAACTGATTCTCTGATATCTACATTTAGAGACCCTCTTCATCATAAATGTTCATGTTATGATGAATGTCAAACCCTGGATCACAGTCATAAAAGCAAAGGGTGTAGAACGTCTGGCATCAGTACAGAGCATAACGGTGCACCAACAATCCTTAACAAGCGGTTCCTGCAGCTAAAACATTGTTCTTCACGGATATCCTTACAAGGTATAATCTGAAATGGGCTGACACATCTGACCAGCGCAACACGGGGGACGTCCCGCGTCCAGCTCCAGCAATCTGCCGTTTAATTGCATCAGAGGTACGCCAAGATGCAATGAATGTGGAAACCGACATACATAAGGCTCAAAGCAGTGCAGTCTTAATCCAAACCAAACATCGTTTCATTTGCAAACCAAAACTACCCCATTCACATTTACTAAAACAAGCCGTTAGTAACAATGAGGTGTTCGATGAAGTTGCGTTATACAGAATTTGATCGAGTTATATTGCCCAGTGACTTCTTGAAGTTCAATAGCTCCCAAGAATTTCCAAGATTAGAGTAGAGACGAATAGATTTCATATACTCACTATGTTTAGTCTCCGGTATTTTTGGTTCTGAAAAGAACAAACATTTTCCAACGTTATTAGAGCTACGGTAAAATGTTTATGTGAATACAAAGCATGCCATCAGTGCCGCCCTGTTCCAACTAGCATGCGGCAAGGAACATTCACCTGCATCTGGTGGCCAGGTTGTCAAGGACTTCGTAGAAAAATACTCACAACTGAACACAATGATTGTGTGGAAGACATGAACGATTAGGATTGTTTTCGTCACGTTTACATCAATTCACATAAGGCCGATGCCTCACCAATGAACTGGGTTCAGTCTCCGTCCATGCAATCAGTGACACAGTCACAAGAGACAGATGCTACTTCCGGTTACGTTCTACACTCAATGAATGAGATGAATGACAACTAAAGGACATCTCAGTCGGGTATTATTAGCTCTGGCGCATAAATCAAACATGCTAAATAACTAAAAACAAAAAGTGAAACTGTACATCTGCTCCACCATTTACACCACGTTAGTGTACTTGAAACAGTAACCCAAAGTTACATTGCAGTTACAAAAATAGAATCACAACGCAGTAAGTCCACCGACATTCAGTCCTACCTTTCACTACCAGCAGGACGTGTTTACGGAGGTGGCGCGCCTTTGAAGCAATCTGACATTCGTACACTCCGGCATCTTCGATCTGCACCCGCTTGATCATGAGGTTCCACTCGCCAGTCGAGGGCGGATGTTCAACGGTGATCCTTTCGTCCTCCACAAACGCCATGGTGCCGATAGTTAGAGGGTTCGGTGATGACGCTCGACGCCATGTTACCTGTAAACAAGGAAATTAAGGAGTTACGCTCGACGCCATGTTACCTGTAAACAAGGAAATTAAGGAGTTACACTCGACGCCATGTTACCTGTAAACAAGGAAATTAAGGAGTTACACTCGACGCCACCCCACCTATTAATCAGGAAAATATCATTCGAGCTAAGTGACAGAACTTTGGCGAGTGCGAGTTAGGTTTTACGCCGCGGTCTGTAAATAATCGAGTCTGGACCAGGCAATCCAGTGATCAACAGCATAAGCATCGATCTAGGCAATTGGGATACGATGACATGTGTCAACCAAGTCAGCGTGTGTTACCATCCGATCCCGTTAGTCGCCTCTCACGACAAGCATGGGTTACTGAAGATCAATTCTAACCTGGATCTTCACGGGTCGACAGAACTTTGGAAAATCTTCAGTGTTTTTCAACTGTATTGTTCCAGAAAATACTTGCAAAATTATGTGCCTCTTGAATTACAAATACAGTTGAGTTGAAGTAGTGGATGTTTTGACAAGATACGCCGTGACATGCCAATACGACGTGATTATTAAAGGTAGAAAGGTCTTCGATTACCGATACTTGATTTGCTTCTTGAAAGATCGATGTGCTTATATGTGATCGATCACAATGATGAGCTTGGCATTTTAAGCTACATCACGTACAGGATATGACTACAAAACATCCTTCTATGTATGTAGCATAGGCCAGAACAAGAAGAGAAAGGGATTTGTTTCGATTAATGATGTGGCTCAATTGGTAGTAAACAGATAATATATGTCACATTGAATATCCAGTCCTGGAACAATGGATAACCCCGTGGAACACCTGGTGTCGCCACTAGGACTCTCACAGTGTTTCGAAAGCAAGCACCTGCTGCCATAACTAACTTTTGCTTTGTTAGCGATACAATTACCAATTATTAACAACACAATGCAAAACAGCACCGCGCCATACACTACCACGTACCACACCACACAATACATCACACAACAGCACACCACCCTAAACCACAAACCACACCATACCACACATCACCACCTCGCCACACCACACCACACCACAGAGTATTCAGATATCGATGGTTCTCACAATGAGGGTAACCTACGCGATTCCCTTGCTGCCGAGTAACGGATTCTAGGATTGTAAAAATCAAATGTGTTGTAATAGAATTTATAGAAAATTCAAAGGCGCTTCTGTGGAATAAACATTTCTTCTTCCACACACCTTTAGTTGAAAAATTAGAAAGAAGTCTCACAGCTTTAGTAAATAACTCCTCGCGCAAATTGCACAGCCATGCGGTTAATATTTGGGAAGTGTGTTTCAGCTGATGACGATGGATCCGAGTGATTATCTGGCAGCGCATATTGATTACTTTCAGTCTTCACAATTAAGTTTCACTTCCCCACGGAACACAAGCAGACAAATCAAATGATTCCTTATTACAAAGAAATAAGCTGGAGCACCTTATGGGAGAGGGTTTTTTGTAGTTCCACTAGTTTGGCATTGTATAGCATTAACTAAATTAATTTCATACACCGCGGCTTGACGTCATGAAGAGTTGCTGGTGGTGAGGCGCTGACGGGGATGGCGAAGTATGCGGCGACGCTCTACCAACATCTTATCGCCAATGTATCTGGGTCTATATTTAATTGTCTCACACCTGCTACCTTATTTATGTCTGGGAATCGCATGGATATTGCGTGCGGTTACGATGCACTTAAATGGCAAAATAATTCTCCACAAAGACGGTACCTGCAGCAACGAGTGATACGATTAGCTTAACTACGGGGCATTCCTCTTCCTCTAAAGCAATGGCAAGCCAATTTTACACCTCGCAACTTCAAAAGTTCTTTAAGCCTTCTTGAGTAGGAAATCCGGTTTGGAACCCAAACTGCATCACTTTATTAATACGATAAAGCATGTTAGTTTCCTCAAGTGAAACATCATCTCTACTGTTATTGACATAAAATTGAATACACTGCACGCCATCTATAATCAAAGCTGCGTCCTTTTACCTAGTTGACTTTATGACATATTTTCCTATCAGAATAGTGCCAGAGCTAATGAAAATGATCTCCTTCCCTGTAAGATCGACAGCTGAGTACCCAGTGATCAGTCGAGGGGAAAGATAATGACACGTTATCCTCTCAAAAGGGTGTACGGCACAGGAAAATAATTATGACGTTGGCAGCAAGGACTAAGACCAGAGCGCAACATGGTAATTCAAAATTAGTCTGCTCAATTTGAACCAGCAAGAGAGAAGAAGTACACGTCAGGGGGCGACATTTCACCCTCGAATCAATCAATACGGCGTGGTGTAAATTTTCTTACGTTAGTAACCCCCCGATGAACAAATTCGATTTTTCGCCACAATCTGCGACCTTTTCAACAGTTACATCACGAAGGAGGAATTGTCGACCATTCCCCGGGGAAAGTCGGTGCTAAGTATGTGGATGATCGGCATACAAACTACAAGAACAAAGAAATAAGCATGTAATAAGAGTCTCTATGTGTCACTTCAATCCTTTCACATGCAAATGTACTGCCGACATGTCCACGACGCCCTATAAAACCATGGTTTTCTGTTCATGATGTCGGGATACCGGATGAAAGGATCTCCCAAACCACGCTTACCATCTCATTCCAACTTTCTTTCAAGGTAAAACCTTCAACGTCCTTCGGATTGGGGCCAGCGCTTATGAAATTAAATCACACGGCCATAATGAAATTTGTTGGCTAATGTTGGTGCCTTGTTATCACGGACAAGACAAGCCGAACAGCAGGTCCTTCAATGTAGGGTAAAGGTGAGACAACCATCCTCCTTGAAATGTCTGATAATGTCAGTAAATACAATTGTTCAGAAAGAAACAACTCTTTCATATTACTTAATGTAAATGCAAGGATCTTCTGTTTTGAAATTCGAAGCTAAAAGTTACATATAAAACCATCAGATTTCCCAAAAGACACAGCTCGAAAATATTCAGTTGGCTTGAAAGACCTTTCATATCAGGTATGATGAGAAAATGAGTTATGTTATACCTCAGTAAGTTGCCAGCACCACCCATGTGGACATGTATAATACTGACCTGTACAGGCATGTGCCGACCAAGCGTGACCTTTGCCTGGAAATAACGCGGGCACATTACGACACTCGCGTGGTATTCCGATTATGCAGTTAACTACACTCGGTCTCATCAATTTCCCAGATAAAAATCTGCTGTCGTTTTTACGTCCATTTCCTGTTTATCGACATTATATTCGCCTCATAGATAACGAGGTTGAATTAATTTTTGTCTTCCTAAATAGCGCTGTCCTGACATTTGGGAAGAGCCTTCGTCGGATAGCCAGTGCAATATATGGTCATACCACCGTGACATAAATTGTGTGGCGTACAGAGCCTGGCGCTGTATAGCAGTGTTACACCATCCCGGCAATGATGGACCGTCGGCAGTGAAGGAAGGACGGGACAATCTCCAGCAGCGACACCAACACAGCAAGTACATCCCTGATCTCACTGACAATTTATTTCTGCAGCAGCTAGCAAAAATCGGCGACGGTATAACGGTGCCTATCTTTCTGATACTATAAACACTAAATGATACTTCTGTATGCATATAAACGTCAAACAACGCTATGCGCGTGGACATAAACAGAGAGTAGTACGTAAAACTGAAAAAGGGTCTTATGAAAGCCGCGTTATCTAACATTCTCGACAGGAACTGATTCGTGTAATCATATCTGCATTGAGGAAAAAGAAGTTTCAAACACAACGTGGGGTTGATGGTTAAAGCAGGTTTTAAAGAAATCGGTTGATAGTCACCCCTTGTGCAAAACACTTCACTCACGTTTACGCCTTACGTTCATTCCAGACAGAATAATTATCGACTTGTTCACGTGATTGTTATCGCTCGACTGACCATACACTTGACACCGCCGAACATCTGGAACAACCCACCCGTTGCCAGGGTCATCATCCCGACAATCAGGCAACACATGTGTTATATGATATGGGGTCTGGACCCGTGCAGATCCGGGGTAGAATAGGTCTTCAGCAACCCATGCTTGCCACAAAAGGCGACTATGCTTGTCGTAAGAGGCGACTAACGGGATCGGGTGGACAGCCTCGCTGACTTGGTTGACACATGTCATCGGTTCCCAATTGCGCAGATCGATGCTCATGCTGTTGATCACTGGATTGTCTGGTCCAGACTCGATTATTTACAGACCGCCGCCATATAGCTGGAATATTGCTGAGTGCGGCGTAAAACTAAACCCACTCACTCACTCATATGGGGTCTGAAGCACAGGGGCGTGTCACGCTTAGAAACAGCGTTAGAAAGACATAGGTATATAGACCCTACCCTAGTACTATATAGACCTTGGTACTATATATAGTACTAGGGTAGGGTCTATATACCTATGTCTTTCTAACGCTGTTTCTAAGCGTGACACGCCCCTGTGGTCTGAAGCTCACCAGGAAACTCGCAATAATATGTCACAAACTGTAAGAAACTTACACCACAAAGTCAAAACCACACTACAGTATTCAGTGGCAATAACCAAACCTTCGGAGAACGCGAGCAATATCATACTTCGTTTGCTATCCAAAGAGATATTCTTGTGTTTAAGCTTCCTTAAAGCTAATCTGCTATACAGACACTGAAATATATATACCCAATGTAGCACATGAAAGTCTACAATATGGGGCAAGTCTGGATTACCACTGTTTCTGTACATGAAGAAGTCTCTGGGTTCCTTTCATTATATGTTATGAATATATTTTAGCAACTGTTTCTATTAAAAACATGTCTATTTCAGAGACTAGATGTAGGTCCACTAATAACGCCCAAGGGACTACATTTCCTGAAAGGTTAAAAATAGAATAGGCGGGGTTTGTATTGCATTATTGTGCTGAACAGTGTCAGTGAGTTTGTTTCGTTGTCTAGATTTGTGTGCGTGCGTGTGCTTGTGCGTGTGTGTGCGTGTGCAAATGGTTACATAA